CACCAACTTTAATTCAACCACAAATTCTGATCCTTTGGGAGTGTTGAATTAAAGAAGTGGTTGGATTATGTATTTCTATAGTGGTGGAGGGAGGGAGTGGAATGATGTATCATGGAGAAAATGATGATGATACGATGATTTGTCTCCTCCTCTGCCAGTTTGGCAATTTTTCTGGAGTGTGATATTTTTAGTTGGTCTTTAGACATGTGGCCTTTAGTGTTAGTCCCTCTCTTAACTTTAACATCTCCACACACAACTGTTAATGTACAGTAGAATCTCCCTTTTGTGGACACCTCTCCACAAAGGACAGTTTTCATTTGCAAAATTACCATTTTTACAATTTAGCAACTCTCTGGTAAGAGGACATCTCTCCCTAAAAAAACACTTTGGCTCTGCAATTAGGTTCTTTGATGTTGCCAATCGTCTAAAAAAAATCAGAACACAGGAGACAGAGACAAGGTAATAAGACCAAATCCAAATAAATAAATAGTGTGTGACGTTTCGGTAACAGCGTTGTTACCATCTTCAGACAAAAGTATTTTACCATCTTCAGGCAAAAGTACTGAAACAAGACCAAATCCAACTAAATAAATAGTGTGTGACATTTCGGTAACAACGCTGTTACCGAAATGTCACACACTATTTATTTATTTGGATTTGGTCTTATTACCTTGTGTTTATAATTTATAATCCAAATTGTGCCTTATCACAGGATACAGAGGTTGTTCACACTTGGTTATCTCATGTGTCGTCAATAAAGGTCACTATAATATCATATACATGCTAAAAGGTATAATTTCCTTAAGTAAGTTTTATCTATGAGTGTATATACCCGTATAGTTAAAAATAAGAAACATAATCCAAAATGTTTTATCTCTTACTATAATGACTTTTAGAATATATTGTCTATATAAAAATTAGATTAAATTATATATTAAATATATATATATAGTAGAACCTCTATGAGAGGACACTCATGCTAAAAGACACCTCTCTATTTAAGTACAGTTTTCATTTGCAAAATTACCATTTTTACTATTTAGCAACTCTCCAGTAATAGGACACCTCTCCATAAAGGACACTTTGGCTCTGCAATTAGGTGTCCTCTACCGGAATGTTCTACTGTATATTTTTTAAATATATATTTTTAAAAAAGAATGTGCATAATCTATTGCCACAGAACAGCTTTGATAAAGAAGGGTGATTGGGTAAAAACTTATCACTGATTAAGGTTCTTACATTTCCACCCACTAATCTTTTTTATCAAATTTTCAAATATAGGGGAGCCTCTATCAGAAGGAATGTCCATATTTCACCATAGTGATAGATGTATGGGCTCCCTTCCCCCCAAATGGGTGAAATCCCCCCACAGATTGAAGCTGGTTAAAGAGAAAGAAAACCTCTTCCTTAATAGAAAATATTCTAAACCATTATTTGCTCTTCCAAGTTGCCATTACCCCAACTTTAGATAGTTGTTTATCTAAAGAACAAAAATAGTTATGAAAAGTTTTCTATAGGATTTTTTATTTTTACACACACAAGAATCTCTTCACCTCACGTTTTTTTTTTTTTTTTTTTTTTTTTTTTTTTTATAAACAGATTTTGATAAGCGATTATCCAACTTATGATATTAGTTACTCCTTTCATGGGTTTCTCCGTCTTGTAACCCCAAGGAGAATCCTCTATAAGACCTGTGTGTCTTAATAAAGGCTTTTGTGTGTGTGTGTGATATTAGTTACTTGTGCAACAATTTTGTGCTTCAATTTTTCTCAAATTTAACCTCTCATGGAGGTATGGTTTTACAATGGAGGTCTTATTAACTTTTGTTTCTAATCTTTGTACCTATATTAGGACATTTTAGTAGAGCTACCTCTCTGTAAAGGACAACACAGCCAAAATTTCCCTTTCTAGAGATAAACCTTTCTGCTTGGTGAAAAAGGCAATTTTGGTGATATAAACTATCCTTTGTAGAGAGGTGTCCTCTCATTGAGGTTCTTCTGTATTGCTTCAAAGGGCCCTCTGATTCTTTGCACCCATTGTACAAGTAACTTAAAAGGAGCACTAATTCCTTTCAAGCTTTCATGTCTTAAGTACCTTTTTTTTCCAAAGGAATAATACATTTGTCTTGTACTCAGAGTAAAAGGTGATCCTTATCTACCCTCCATGATAATCATTGTGTAATCTGTGTACTTTGGATAAGTAGAATAACAAGATGCCAAGCGTCAACACTGACCCCTCAGAAAATAGCAGTATCTATCAACCACTGATAAGTTCAACATTTCTCAACCGGCTTTTAGCCCTTGGAGCCGTAAAATTTGGGGGGGAAAAAGTTTGCTGACACCATAGTTTTTTTTTTAAACAAGTAAATGTATTATGAAAAAGGCATCTCTTTATCGTGCAACTGAAGTTGCTGATGGCTTGCGCCATCTATCGGAATAAATATCAACTATTCTCGTTGATTTCTAATTATTCCAGAAGAAAGTAAATGTATTGCCATTGAAGAACTACAGTAAAACCTCTCTGTAAAGGACAACACCTAGTTGTAGAGCTAGCATGACTGTCCTTTCATGGAGATTTTTCAACTGTACTATATAAGTCTATATTCATAATTTTTAACAACCAAAGCCTTAAAATTAGCCGTAAAAAAGCCATAAACATAAAAATTTATATCATACAGGATTTTTAATACAGTAGAACCTCCATGAGAGGACACTCATTAGAGGACACTTCTCTACAAATGACAGTTTTCAATGCCAAAATGACCATTTTTTACTAATTAGAAACTCTCCAGTAAGAGGACACCTCTCTCTAAAGGACACTTTGGCTCTGCAATTAGGGTCCTTTACAGGGAGGTTCTATACTGTATAAGAAATTTATTTGCCCTCCAATTTACCCAGATTAATCTATTTATTAGCCTGATTGTCTTTTAATTAAGTTTTCCTGTATATTAATTCCATATTACCCATTATATGTGATTAGCTTTAAAAATAATAATAACATTGCTTATTACTGGTATTATTACTGTTATTCCTACAAGTACCATACATTTCTATACTCAGAGAATCTGTATAAGACTGAAATATCTTAATAAAGCTTTTTGTTGTAAATCCAGTCTTTGGTTAAATTAAAAAGGTAATCTTCTTATTCTTTCTTATCTCCACACTGGGTGAAGTAAAACTGGGATTTAAGACTGGAAGCACTACTCAGTAGCAGGCTGACTTAGCTCCAAAAGAAATGAGGAACAGAGGCCATGTGCAGCCGCTCCTAACATGGAGTACAAACGCTGCTCATCCTGTATCCCTGGATTAGGAGCCCTTACAGGGTACTATCAGCCAGGCTAGCAGAACCCAGGTTTTTTAGTGAGCTTGTTACTGCTCCCCCTCCTCCTTTTTCATCTGGGCTTGGGACCGACAAAGGCGGAGTTAAAAAAAGGTAGTAATTTGTGAAAGGGATTTAAAACTAGTATAATTTGTTAACTGTCAATCAGGGAAAGTGGAGTTTGGAAAAAAGGAAAGAGAGGTGAGGGAGCTAGCTGGTATGTTGTTACGACACACAAAGAGGTCTTTGTGTCCGCCACTTGTCCCTGATTTATCTCTAACAGGAGTGGTCTTTCTACAGTGCTAGTAGCGCAGGTCTTATCTACATACCAATGTTCTCTTAAGCACTATTTACCTAACCTAACTAATATAAATATAGAAGAACTACCTCTCTGTAAAGGACAAAACCTAATTGCAGAGCCATAGTGTCCTTTAGGTAGAAATGTCCTCTTACTGGAGAATTGCTAAATAGTAATGATAAGGCACAATTTGGATTATAGACTAGATCCATTACATGTTTATCTTATACCATATAGAACAATCATGTAACATATATAACTTTTTATTAAAATCAATAAGCAATCCAGGACCATATTTCTTTACCCTTTTGTTTTACTTCTCTATCTTTCGGATTAACATATTCTTCAACACAAGGTAATAAGACCAAATACAAATAAATAGTGTGTGACGTTTAGGTAACAGCGTTGTTACCATCTTCAGACAAAAGTACTGAATGTATTTCCACTCATTTCCACTAAGGAATGAGAGCTGGACCATTTAAAAAAAAAGTTTTCCTGGTACACGTGGTACAGGCCCATGATAATCATGGTGGGTAGTAGTTAGTGTATGACATATATCTACAATATCTACACACTTGGAAAACAGTTTGACTTTTACACTTACCAGTATGCCAGAGCCCTGTTTGATAACTTGCACTGGGTTGGACTTTTTTTTCTTTTCTCAGAAAGGTGGCCAATGCAGGATCAATCTCTTGTAGCTGTTGGAAATTGATGGTTTTGACAATTCCTCTACCCCCTTGGTGGGAATCTAACTATCTATATATACTGTAATTGAACAAATGTGTTTGGTGTCTATCATAACAGGAATTCACAAACAGAGGAGAGCTTCAGATCCTGAACTCTTTAAAATAGAATCTGATGGCATCAACATTGCATAGCATATATACATAGCATCACATTGACATCAATGTTGATGCCATCACTTGAAGATTCTATTTTAAAGAGTTCAGGATCTGAAGCTCTCCTCTATTGTGTTTATAATCTATAATTCAAATTATGTACTGATGTCTTTATTATCACATTGTATAATTATTTGTTTTTGTATAACACCTTATACCTATAACATCTTGTATAATTATTTGTTATTGTATAATACCTTGATAAAGGTTGGCGTTCAGCCAACTGAAATATTGGTAAAAAATATAATATTTTGATCCAATATATACCTTTTTAATTAAAGATTTATTTATGGATTGCTCTATTTAAAAAAAAAAAAATTGTATAATTATATAAGGTCATGTGGAGATTAAATTCATGGATGGAATTTATCTTAGTAGGGTTTGTCCATAAATCTCCATGATGGGTAAAAAGAGCTGTTATCATTGGTTGGCTATCCATCACATGGAGGTTGACTGTCAGACTTTGCCCCTTCCCCCCAAAAAAGTGCAGTGACCAGGATTCAAACCTGGGTTATCACAGCCACAATGCAATGTCCCTAACTACTAGACGATGATCACAGCTACGTACTGATGGTTGGTGTTGTTTACAGGGTTCCTTACGTCTCAGCTAAGGCATAGCTCCATGGGTGAGTATACCTACCTTATGATGCATTAGCGTGCCATCTGTTATCAAAATTCGAAACTATTGTAGACATGTAGTCCAAGAGTCTACCAACAGTATCACTATAAAAGGAAGATCGAAAAATGCAATATAACAGCGGTATGGTAGATTAAACTGGTGAAACCGCTGGGAGGGTTCACCACTGATGAGCCAGGCCTTCCCATTAATTTTTTCCATTGCAGTAAGGGCAGTAGAAATTGTTTATTTTTAATATGCGTCTATAATTGTTTCAAATTTTGATACCTACCTTACTTTACCTTAACTTTGTTGTTGCCTTTGGAGATGTGTTTGATTGTGTGGCCTGGCTTTTGCCTCTGACTGGTAGTCCCTCCTCTACAGTGCAGCTATAGTTGGTCATATATGAAAGTGTGACAGGAGACCAAATAGACAAACTGTGGCTGTTCAGCAAATAATAATGACTAGTTCTTAACTACACTAATTAATATAAAGCAATAACACCCCATCTATATATAGTAAGGTAAAACATCAAAGCACAAATGTTTCTTTTTACACATAAACAAACTTCTACTGTTCCTACTGCGATGGAAGAATATTTGGAGGGCTTGGATCATCAGTTTTCTACAAAATAAACCTTTTTCAGAGTAGTTAATTATGTAGTTATCTAGGAATAATGTTTTAGGCTTTCTTGGAAGATAAGGCACAATTTGGATTATAGATTATGTTCTGTAAACAATAAAGAGACAAAGCCAGTTAAAAATGAATTAATATAAAGCAATAACACACTATCTATACATAGTAAGTAAAAATGTTTTTTTTTACACATAAAACAAACTTATACTGTCCTTACTGCGATGGAAGAATATTTTGAGGGCTTGGCTCATCAGTTTTCTACAAAAGAAACACAAGGTAATAGACCCAATATAAATAAAAAGTGTGCCACGTTTTAGTAACAGCGTTGTTACCGAAACCTCACACACTATTTATTTATTTGGTCTTATTACCTTGTGTTTTCTTGAAGACTATTTTCTTATTATCTGCTCTCTTGTTTTTACACTCTCTTGACAACAGTAACTACTTGAAAGCATGCTGTGATATTTTTTCCTCATTCAACACTTTTGTCTGATGATGGTAACACTTTTAATGAAATGTTACACACTATTTATTTGGTTTTAGTCTTATTACCTTGTAGCTTTTTTTCTTATCCTTTATTCCTGCAGACCAAATCCTGGAAGTTGTGCTTCTGACTTACCGAATTCCATAAATGTAGGAGTTGTTACTGTTTCCTTAGTGCCTACTCTGGGCTAATCCAGGGAGATGCAGTTCAATCTGATTTGGCCTTATTTCTGAAATGGCTCTCTTACTAGAATTGATAAGGCACAATTTAGATTATAGATTATAAACACAAGGTAATACGACCAAATCTAAATAAATAAATAGTGTGTGATGTTTTATCAACACATGTCAGTTTTGTCTGATGATGGTAACAACAATGTTACTGAAACGCCACACACTTTATTTATATAAATTTGGTCCTATTACCTTGTGTTTATAATCTATAATCCAAATTATGCCTTATAATTATGTCTTTATTATTTTTATAGTTAATATATATGGGAGATGGATTCATATACAGTAGAACAATCTCCATGATAAGATACTCCTATTAGAATACACCTCTCTACAAAGGACAGTTTCCATCACCAAAATTACCATTTTTTGCCAATTAGTTACTGTCCGTTAAGAGAACATCTCTCCCTAAAGCACACTATGGGTCTTCAACTGGGTGTTTTCCTTTACAGGGAGTTATTTATACTGTATATTGAATTGAATTTACCCATAATTTTCCAGTATATATAAATTTCATAGTAATCATTAAATATGATTAGCTTTAAAAAAATATATAGTTAAACCTGTCTATAGCCCCCCCCCCCCTTTTAAATAGCGCCTCCTAGCGCCCAATTTTAAATATGTAGTACAATGCGATATTTACATTAAAAGTGACCTGTCTATAGCACCCTATTTTGGTGAGTCCCAAGAGGAGGGGGGGGGGGCTATAGACAGGTTTAACTGTATATTGCTTATTACTGGTACTATTACTATTATTCCTACATTCACCCTACATTTATGCTTTGTAGAATCTGTATAAGACTATAAAAAGTCTTAAAGCTTTTTTTTTGTTGAATTGAATTGTGTCCATTATTTTAAAACCTCACACTGTTAGTAGGCTGTGATAAGTGTTGAAGCAGGGACCTTTGGCCGACCGACCCAATCTCTCTCTCTACCCTGATAAAGATTACTTATCTCAAGACTTGGTTGGTTGGTTGGTTGGGGTGGTGAACTTCTCTCTTCTTCTGCTCATTTTGGGTCAAAGCTAGGATTCTATAAATGTCTTCAAATGCTTTACCTAATCTAATTTTTAAACTGAATGGCAAGAAATGCAGATTTGATTTTGAACAACTTGAAATTCTTGGACATATAACCAACCAACCGGGTATAAAACCTGCCAAGTATAATATCAAAGCCATTTGTGATTTTCCTCAGCCCAAGAAGGTCAAAGAAGTGCAATCACTCCTAGTAATGTGCTCATATTATGAAAAAATTATTAAAGATTTCTCATTAATTGCTAAACCATTGACCAGACTCATCAGATAAAATTTACTACCTTGTGTTTCTAATATATAATCCAAATTGTGCCATATCACACCATCATGTTGGTTAAGGACTTGTAGAAACCCTCAAATTTTTACAGCCATGTCCTGGTATTGGATTCTACATTGGACACTTATTAAAAAAAGGCCACTGATGACCCATGTCATCCGCTTTCAAATTGTATTTATTGCTGTATAAAATTTTTCCACACCAATTTCACGAGTCCCTCCCTGCTCCTTGATCTGTTTGATGATAAGCAGTGGCCTCTTTCTCCCAAAGGTTCTGTATCTTCAATTATATAAAAATACTAGCGGATGTGCCCGGCTTCGCCCGGGTTTTACCCGAGTGAATGTTTGTCTAACGAACATTTGTTAAAACAATTCTCTATAAACTTATAAAACGTACTCAGCTTCGCCCGGGGTTTTACCCGAGTAAAGGTTTGTCTAGCGAACATTTGTTAAAACAATTCTCTAAAAACTTATTTAAAAAAAAAAAGATATACAGTAAAACCCCTCTATAGTGAACCCCAATGGGACAGAGCTTTTGGTTCACTATAGCCACGGTTCACTATAGCCACGGTTTGGCCATTTTTTTTTTACTTTTCAAAATTTTAGACTGTATAATTAAAAAACAGCCATACACACAAGTAGAGGCTGCCTCTTAATAATGGTCACTTTATTTTAATTCCCTTAATTGACTAATTTCCTTATATTAATACTGAATAATAATAGAAATCATTAGATAATAGGTTCTTCTTATGATTAACATACATGTACCTCTATGTCTAAGTTAAAAATCAAGACAAATCCTAGGCAAAGTTTTATTAAATATATATTCAAAGATATGAAATGATTTTAAAACATCATTATCACATTATATAATACAATTTTTACTTGAAAAAATGGCTCTAATACCTTGTTGTTTCAAAGCATTCTTCCAAGCATTGCACCATTCAAATAAAGTTAGTGTTTTTCTTCCATTTCATGTTTCCCCATATTCTTCTAGGTCTAGATTTCGTTTTTTTTTTTAACCTGCCATGCAAAACATTGCTGACTTTAAAATCACCATAGTTAATGGCATAAAAATAATTTTTGTTTCATCACGGGACCGTTTATTTGGACTTTTTTTTTTAGCCCTAAAACGTACGATCGCGATCGCGGCAAAAGTTGATTCCTCTTTGTAACAATTTTTAATAACTTTATATTTTATCTTTTATAATAGAAAAGTTATATTCTCTTATTTTAATATGTTCTTAACATTTTGCCTATGTTGTTTCACTTTGAAAAGTTCTGAAAATGGCCTTTTTTTTTTAAAGAAATAATGCTTTTGTTTTTAAAATGCCTTTGTTTTCTTCATTTTGGAAGCCATTTGCATATTTTATATTTCAAATTTAATGGATGCAAAGATATTCTAATTAATAAAAAGTATAATGTGTAAAAATTTATACAACATACAGCAAAAATAAAGTGCAAAAATCAAACAAACAATGCCGCTAAATTTATTGTTTTGAAATCGCGATCCGCGAGCTTTAAACATGCTCAAAATTTTGTTTTTATTATTTTTTTAAAATTACAATTCTAAGTTCGTTATAAGCATAGTATTTTTAATATATTTTATCATTTTGGGACCCGAAATAGGTTCATTATAGGGGTAGTTCGTTATTCTAAAAATCGCAAAGTTCGTTATACTGATGGTATTTTCAATGGAATGGAATTGGGAATCGGCGTGGGTTCGTTATAAGGGAAGGTTCGTTATATCCAGGGTTCGTTATAGCGGGGTTTTACTGTATTTTGATAATTTAAAACTCGTAAATTTGAATCTCTCGATAAAGTGAACATTTTTTTCCCGTCCCTGTGTGCCGTGTCATCCTGAATTTTGTCTTTCCTAATTTTCTACATTAGAAAATCATAGTTTTATCTAGTGAACATTTTTTCCCGTGTCACATTGCCGTGTCACATTGCCTTTATTCTTCATTGTTGGCTTTTTATATTATATTTACTCTTCATTGTTGGCTTTTTATCTTAAATTTATTCTTCATTGTTGGCTTTTTATATTACATTTACTCTTTATTGTTGGCTTTTTATCTTACATTCATTCTTCATTGTTGGCTTTTTATATCAATTTACTCTTCATTGTTGGCTTTTTATATTATATTCTGACCAAAATCTATCTGTGAACTTCACACAGACAGAATAAGGCAATTATATAAGTAGATTTACTCTTCTTTGTTGGCTTTTTATCTTACATTCATTCTTCATTGTTGGCTTTTTATATTACATTTACTATTCAT